CATTAAAAATGAAATCTCTGTAGGAAAAAAAAAATTGATTAAACTGCATCTTCCAGACTAGTGATTTAAATCATAATCAAATCCACTCTAGTTGGAGCTCTAGTTAATCCATTTAAAATGCATACAATTAAACACTTATTAAATGTCAGTATACAGTAAAAAATTTCAAGGTATGGTTCTTTTTCCTGAGTTCCAAGTAAAAGCAAAACTATAATGTAAGGGGGGGAAAATTTAAAAAAGAATTTAGCAATGCAAATGTAGCGTAATAGATCCACATCCTGATTGTTCTCATTTCTAGTGCTTACAGAGCAACAAGAAGGTATTTTTGTATGAAGAAGAGTGTTAGAAAATGATCCCCAATTAAGACTAGAGAATTATGTAGATTTTTGAGACTGAAAAAGAAAGGAAGAGGTTTGCTTTAAAAGGTAGCAGACAAAGAAAGAAATAGCACCTTACATAAAAGCAATAATCTGGGACACATTTTATTCTGGGTCCCCAACTAAATTTAGGGACAAGGGTCAAACCTCTGAACGGCTGAACTCAATCATTGGTTAGCAACATAAACCCAAATGAGGTTGGGTCACTCTGTCTAAAAGGCCCAGAGAAATCCAGTGTATCCTTTGAGGAAAGACTCATTAACTGCAGAAAGAGTAAACAGCCTGGTGCCTCAAATGCAATTCAAACTGTGACTTTTAGCACTTCACCAGAGCAAAGGGCTGATGAATCATTCAATAGTGCTTAAGCTATTGCTAAGCCAACAGCATCATGCTAATGACTTCTCATGTTGGACAACTGATTGCCAAACTTATCCTCAACACTGCCTCAAGTTGGCAAGAATCCAAGCAATCATTCTGAGTCAGCTTCCAGGGGCTTATAGGTTGCTAATTAGCTAATTCTTGCAGAGGTGAGAGGGGAAGCAGCAACGTGGTTGTGAATGTTATTATATAGACAATATAATTTTCAGGAAAGATTTCAACACCCAAATCAAAATCTCTATTTCTTACAAGGAGAAGGAGATAGTGATATTAATAAGAAGATAAAAAGGCTATACAATGAAGGAAAGAACAGAATAAGTCCCATGAGTTTAAAAAATTAAAAGTCTCTTATAAACAGCTGATTAATTCAAAACTTATGGAAAGATTCCTTGACCATTAGAATGTAAGCTTCTTGAGGGCAGGTAATGGTTTGGGTTTTGTTTGTCTTTCTATCCCTCCACATCTAGCATTAAATACTAGAGATGATGGAAGGAAGGAAGGGAGGGATGGAGGGAGAGAGGCAGGCAAAGATAGAAATATAAATAGATAAATAGATGTAGACATATGATGGATGCATAGATACAGACATACAGATAGACAGATACATAGATAGACAGATAGATACATAGATACATAGATAGACAGACAGATAGACAGATAAAGCATTTATTGTTTACTATGTATACCAGATCCTGTGTTAAGATCCTAGAATAAAAATACAAGCAAAAAAGACTACTACCCTCGAGGAGCTTACCAATCAAGTACAACAGCATATAGTAGGCGTTTAATAAATGGTTCTCAGATTTGTTGATCTCAGAAGATGTAGTTTCTGGTCCCATATTTATGACTTCCTAGTTCTGTGACTATAGGTAGATCACTTCCCTCTCTGAGCCCATTCCCCTCCCATCATTCGTAAAATAAAGATAATAACAGCAGTGGTCCTGCCTGTACTTCAAAAAATTATCTGGAGAATGAATGAGATAATGTGCATGAAAGAACTCAGAAAACTGTGGAGCTCTTCATATATGCAAGATAATGGAAGTACTGTAATTAATATTGTTAGTAGTGTCAAATACATTTTTATAACTTAGAACTCAACTGAGGAAGTGCAGGGGAATGGGAGCGGTGGTGGGTGTTGTGAACAGAGAGAAGATGGTTATTTATTTTTTAAACATAAATGAAAGCCATAATACTCTCAGAGCCAAAAATTAAAAGGGCAGCTTTTCAATCCATGTAATTGTAATTATATATGCATTTTACATTCTAACACTCAGGATGAGGAGGAAAAAATACTATTTATACACACACACACACACATACATACAAATAAACAAATGATGAAAACCTAGCCCCTTCTCACCTAACCATTCCAACACTTTTTTTCCATTAAAAGGGCAGAAGACGGAATTTCTTTTAAAAAAACACAACAAAATAATTTTCTTGTGGCTTGATGTAGTTTTATAGATAGGGCTGAAAAGAGAATGGGGCTAGCAAGTCCTGGACATTCCCCTTTATGCTCACCCAAGTCCAGGGTCTTCTACTACAGTAGCCTTATAGGCTCTACAATCAAAAAGCAGCTGAAACACATCGTCAGGTCTATCCCTATAGCAGCTTATGGTAGCGTGACCAGGGAAGTTCATATGTAATAATAGCTGGCATTTATATAGCTTTTCACTATTTGCACAGAACTTTACAAAAATCATCTCATTTTATCCTCACAACAACCCTAAGACGTAGGTGCTATTATAAGACCCATTTTTCAGATCAGAAAACTGATCTGCCCAGGATCATATAGCTAGTAAGTACATGAGGCAAAAACTGAACTCAAGCCTTCCTGACTCCAAGGACCCATGGTGCCAGTTTCACTGAGAGGCTGACTGATATGCTAGACTTTTTGTTTTCATTTCTACACAGTTATAATTCCAGGATTCAACTATATTTTCCTCATGTGCTACAAATCAGTCATTCATTTATTCAATCAGTCAACAAGAGGTTACTAAACTCTTATCATGTACTAGATACTTTGCTAAGCACTTTTACTTAAAAAAAAAAATGGTAAAAATACTGTCCCTGTCCTCATTGAATTCATTCTGTTGGAGGAGACAACATGGAAGTAACTATAATAAGAATCAGACAGAGTAGACAGAGCACAGTTTTAGAGGGAAGACACTAGAAGCAGTAGGGGGACTAAGGGAGGATTCTTGCAGAAGGTACGATTTGAGCTTATTACTAAAAGTAGCCAGAAAAACTAAGAGATAGAGATAAGGAAGGAGGACATTCTAAGCATGGAGGACAGCCAGGTCACAACTCAACTGTGGCCTAACACATCAACAAATAATATATAATAAAATTTGCTTGATTTCAGGCTTCAATGCGCTACATAATTACTTTAATCATCTGCTTCATTTTGGCTACAAAAACATAGGTTCATTGATTTATTCTCAGCTAACATGGCCTTAGAGGATATCAAATACAACTCTCTCATTTCATGGATGAAGAAGCTGAGGCACAGAGAGGTTGTGACTTACCCAAGATTCAAAATCAAGCCTACTTGACTCCAATTTCATGATTTTATCCAGTATCGTCTATGCCTAGGAAACTGTTACTTGGAATTGGGGGCTAAACCTAAAATTTAGGTATTTCACAGGTATTTCTTTTTGAATATGTTGGCTAGTTCTGCTGAACTGGTATTTCCTCCCTCCGTTTTCTTCTTTGTTATAAGAGAAGGCAGGAGGAGGGAGAAGGGAGAGGCAGAGTAGAAAGGGAGGAATACATTGGAAAACATTGTTGATATAAAAACAAAAGATACAAATAAAATTTATTTTTAAAATATATTAATGTGAAGTTGATATTGGGTGGGCAAAAGATGATACATTATCTACTCCAAAGGTATATACTTTTAGAATACTTCCCCTTAATAAGGACAGAGCCTAGACCTGTGATTTTATTAGTATAGGGAGCTCCCAGGTAAAGCAATAAAATTTCTTCTACCAACACAAGTCAGTACTTCCTCTGCAAGTCATATTCATAAAGAGGTGTCCAGAGTACTGAGGTTAAGTGACTTGCCTAAGGTCATGCAGCCAGTCTGGACCTGAACTTAAGTCTTCCAGGCAGTGAGACTAGCTGTCCAGTATACTAAGCTGCCTCTTACCCTTTTTAATTTAATTTAAGTAAAATCTCTCTCTTTCATACTACATTTGTGCTAGTAATATTGATGGTTATTATAACACTTAGAATTTAAAGAATGGTCATCAAAATTCCCTGGGCATCTACTAGGTATAAGATACTGTGTTTTGTTTCAAGGACTTTGTAGAATACTGGGATGACAAAGCTGGCCTTAAGAAACTTATAATCTAGATGAGATGATCAGTTAGATATGCACTATTATCAGAGGAAAAATTAGATTTATGTATGTGAATATATACTTGTTTACACATTTATACTTGACACAGAAAAATACACGAATACAAACATAACTCCATGCATATATGGAAGGCCGAATGGGTTACAATGGAGCCACTATAGTAGAGGAATCATATCTGCTCATCTTTAAAAAATGCATTTCTTATAGAAAATTAATTTGAATAGCAAAACCTAAATTATCCAACTTCATATCAGTCTATGTATGTGTGTACACACACACACACACACACACACACACACACACACACACGATTAAGACCAGGTTATCTTAGAGCACGCTGAATGTCAGTACTTATTGTTTAAAGCTGTAATAGGTCCATGAAAAATGATAGAAACCAAACAATTGATTCAATATCATTACAGAAAAAAGCACCATGGCAAAAGGAAGAAGTAGGATATGAAATCCATTTGAGAATCCATTTCACACTTCTAATTTAAAGCCAATTCTGCCATAATTTACTTTACTGGGTCCCTATATTTTCATGAGGGTCAAGAGTGCAATCAACAGAGGTGACAATAGTTATTTGCAGCTATCAAAAGATAAAGTGGCAGCAGTAACTGAGCCAGTGACTAATAAAAATCCTGGGGCTCCCACAGAAAACTGAATTACTAAATCAAAAAGCCCTCTCCTGTAGCCCCCATGTGAACGCTATAACAAAAGCTTTTAACATGTGTCAACTTGGCATCAAATGCATGTTTGCAATTTAACTGAGTTCAGTACAATGAAGTTGGATTCACTGGTGCATAAACCCATCATTTTGCTTCTCCATGAACATTTACAGAAGGTAAAGCAATCACTTTGGCCTTTAAGTTAAAACTTACCACTTTCGTCATCAATGTTAAACCTTCCGAGACCACTGCCATCCCTGACAGAATACTGGATCTCTCCATCCCTTCCAGAATCCTCATCTCTCGCTGTCACCTGCAGCACACTTGTTCCAATACGAGAGTTTTCCTTTACCGATCCAACAACAGCAAAGTCTGGGAAATAGGGAGTGTGAAGGTTTTCATTGACGTCCACCACTTCCACCTCCACAAAGGAAACAGATGACAAAGATACTGGGCGCCCTTTGTCTTTTGCACGGACAGTGAGGTTGTAGAACTGCTGTTTCTCATAATCAAGCTCCCTGCTCAAACGAATGGCACCACTGGCTTTATCAATTTCAAATCTCCCATTGTAGTCATTCACCAAGGAGTAACGCACTTGACCTCCCAAGCCAAGGTCTGGATCATGGGTTTCCAACCATGCAATGACTGTGCCAACTGGAAGATCTTCAAGGACCTTCACACTGTAGCTAATAGGTATAAAAGTAGGGGAGCAATCATTGACATCATCCAAGAAAACCTTAAGAGTAACCACAGAAAACTGCTGCTGGCCACTCTCAGATTTGTCCCTGGCCTCTATTTTTAAAGAGTAGTTTGCTTTGGATTCTCGGTCCAGTTGATCAGCTACATAAACTATCCCAGTTGAACTGTTGATGGAAAACTGCTGTGCATCTGTTAATACCGAGTAAGTCACTTCACCATTAGATCCCAAGTCTTTATCCCTGGCTTCGACTTGAATGATCTCAGTACCAATACTTGAACTTTCTAGAATATTAACAGAATAACTCTCCTGCAAGAAAATGGGCCTGTTGTCATTGGCGTCCTCCACATTAACAGTCAGTAACCTCCATGAGGATTTCTGGGGCTTTCCTAAATCATAAATTGTAATGTTAAGAAGGTAAAGGTTGTCTGCTCTCTGTCCATTGGCATCAGAACTTTAAGCTGACCTGTTTCCATGTCAATGTTGAAGCAACTATCTGTATTACCATCGGAGATTGTGAAAACAACCTTTCCGTTGAAGCCAGAGTCTGCATCAAAGGCTTTTATTTTCAAGATGTTAGCACCAACTGGCAGGTCCTCCTTGACAGCAATATCAGAAGGAAAGGATTTGTCAAAATGGGGTCCCTGCCTATTAACAGAATAAAAGTCAAGAAACCCATCTTCTGAATTCAACTTCCCATTGGCTTTTGCTTTGATGAGAAGTTTCTCTGCTAACTTTTGCGCCACTCGAGTTTCTCTACAAGTGAAGCTTTTAGAAGACACTTTTCCCTGTAAGACTGAAATGTTAACAAACATGGCATCTGCAAAATTCTCCCCATCAGTGGCTGTGATCCTGAGGCCAAAGTTACCATTCTTTACACCAGAGTTAATCAAGGACTGTTTAAGCTGTAAGACACCTGAGTCAGGATTTAAATAAAAAAAACCAAGTTCATTTCCAGAGATGATTTTGTACTTTACCAGTTCCAATTCATCAATATCTATTGCTGACACAGCAGTAATGTGTCCCCCAACAGGGAAGTCATATGAAATGACTCCCTGGCAGGCCACTTTTTCAAACAAGGGTCTGTTGTCATTGACATTTCCTATGCGAATGGTCACATTGACCTCACTTTCATGTCGATAAGGTGAACCCCAGTCAGAGGCCCTCACAATGAACCTGTAACTTTCTGGAGAGGATTCAAAATCTAGTTCCTCAGTGGTACGAATAATACCTGTAAACTGGTTAATGGCAAATGGTAATGCACTGAGGCTGGCGATACTGTATGTGATATACCCATTCTCTCCCTTGTCCTTATCAGAAGCGGAAACAGACAACACGCTTGTGCCCACAGGCACACTCTCATTAACAAAAGCTTCATAGGATGGCTGCTGGAATTCAGGAGTATGATCATTGGCATCTTCTAAGCTGACGGTAACTTGCGCTTTCAAATCACCTTCTTTGTTTGACACCCCTAGCTCATAAACTTCTTTCTTGATGACATCCAGGGGCTGCGCTGTGACTATTAGACCAGACCTTGGATTAATCTTAAAATACTCTGCATCCTCACCAGGAGATATTCTGTATTCCACCCCTGGTGGCTCTGGGCTCAGTTTAACAATAGCAACCACAACTCCAGGAGGTGAAAACTCACTAATGGTGACATTGTAGGTTTCCTTCTCGAATCTGATGGGGATGTTATCTCTCTGGGGACTGGCAATATGGACTACTTTTACCGCCGAAAACTTCTGCGGAGAACCTTTGTCCTTTGCTTGAAGAGTGAGATTGTAGCCATAGGGAAAGCCCTCCCAGTCAATTGACTTCCGCTCCTTAATTTTGTACTCATTCATCCATTTCCCTTCCTTCACTAAGAGAAACTGTTCCAAAGGATCTCCAGCCACAATGGAAATTGATTCAATCTCTCCATTTGCACCCTCATCTAGGTCATCAACATTAACCACTGCATATGTGGGCTCCTTGTCCAATGGGAAGGGGATGTGTGTGACCACACTGATAGTTGGCGCATGTTCATTGATCCGTTCAATATGAACATAAAGCTTTGCTGTGCTGCTGACACCATTGTTACCATAAAGTTTCATCCCCCGGTCCACTGCCAAAACTTCAAGGTCATACCTGTTCTTCTCATCATAGTTTAACCTCCCACTTAGAGAGATTACACCACTTGTAGGGTGAACAGAAAAGAGGTCGACTTTGTTTTTAAAGTAATAGTAGAATTCACCATTAGAACCAATGTCAGCATCGGTAGCTGTTACCTGGGCGATGCTAGTCCTTAAAGGTGTGCTTTCTGCTATCGTAACAGAGTATGTTGTTGGTGAAAACAAAGGTCTCAAATCATTCATATCCAAAACTTGTATATTCACTTTGGTCCATGCTTCTAGATCCTCTCCTCTGACAGAACCTTTTACAATCAATAAATAATTGTCCTGTATTTCTCTATTCAGTATGGCAGAATTGCCACCTTTAGTTCTTATTCTGAGGAAACAGAAGTCTGCAATGATGACTTCTTCTGCTTTGAAGAAGCCTTCTTCATCCCCAGACACTATTCTGTATTTGATGTCCCAGGAAAGATCTGACAAGATGATACCCATTCTGCTCTGGCTGTTGACATAGGTCCTTGCTGCTGAGTTCTCATACACTGTAGCATTATAAATGGAATGTGTAAAGTGGAAGCCCAGAGGTCCTGTCCCTGGGAGACCCTGGGAAACACTGGCCAAAAGCTTGAGAAGGAGGAGTATGAGGCAAGAGGGAGAAGGTCCTGTGCCCATACAGCAGCCCATAGTTATATCCATCACATCATTCTTTCATCCTGGGGGGAAAAAGACAGAGAAAAATAAGTGAATCTAAAAGGAAATCAGCAAGAGGAGAATGCATAGGTGTGTTTGTGTGTATATGTATATGTGTGTGTGCTGAGAAGTGATGTGTTTTATTACATGTCGAATACAGTAAAACATGAGCCCATATCAAATATTTGGAAATCTAACAAGATTGCAAGTAATTCAAAATATACTAAGTCCACAAAGAGATGCTATACTACCAGCATTTTGCCCTTCTTTTTTGATTGATTGCGTTTATTTTTAAATAGCAATGTTCATAAGCAATTTACTGCCAAAAAAAGCTCAGTAGAATAATCTATCCATCGATATATCTATTCATCCATCCATCAATCCATTTATCCCTGGAAGCAAAAGACCAAAAGCATCTAACTCCAAAGGGCCTGCAAACATTTCATTCAATAAAACCCATTAGCAAATGGAACTATATGGGGGGTGGTAAATGAAACATTAGTGATTTAGATGTGCACTTAAGGAATTAACAATGGAACTTCCGACTATCCTGTTAGTCACCACAGAGCTTCCAGTCCTCAGGTATGGCACCTCTACCAAATGGACTTACCAAAAAAGAATCAAAGTTGAAACATGTAAAAATGGTCCGCTAGTCAGTCAGTTAACGTTTATTAAGTACCTATTATGTGACAGGCACTGTGCTAAGGCAAAAGATAGCCCCTGCCCTCAAGGAACTAACTATGTAACGGAGGAGACAACATGCAAACAACCATGTACAAACAAGCTATATACATGTTAAAGTAGAGATAATCAAAAGTGAGAAGCTACTAGAATTAAGGAGGATAATGAATCAGTTCTTGCAGAAGTTAGGATTCTGGCTAGACTGGAAGGAAGCCAACCAAGGCGGAAGGCAGAGATGAGGGGAGAGAGGGAGAGGGAGAGAGAAAGGGGGGGAAGGAGAGGGAGAGAGACAGAGACAGAGACAGAGAGAGAAACAGACAGAGACAGAGGAAGGGAGGGAGAGGGAGAGATAAAGGGGGGAAGGAGAGGGAGAGAGACAGAGACAGAGAGAGTGAGACAGACAGAGACAGAGGAAGGGAGGGAGAGGGAAAGGGAGAGGGAAAGGGAAGGGGAGAGGGAGAGGGAGAGGGAGAGGGAGAGGGAGGGGAGAGGGAGAGGAGAGGGAGAGGGAGGGGAGAGAGAGAGGGAGAGGGAGAGGGAGAAGGAGAGAGAAAGGGGGGGAAGGAGAGGGAGAGAGAGACAGAGACAGAGAGACAAACAGATAGAGACATAGGAAGGGAGGGAGAGGGAGAGGGAGAAGGAGAGGAAAGGGGGGGAAGGAGAGAGAGAGAGAGACAGAGGAAGGGAGGGAGAGGGAGAGATAAAGGGGGGAAGGAGAGGGAGAGAGACAGAGACAGAGACAGACAAAAAGAGACAGAGAGAGGGAGGGAGAGGGAAAGAGAAGGGGTGGGGAGGCAGGGAGGGAGACAGAGAGAGATCCCTAGGCATGTGGGACAGTGAAAATGCCTGGAGTCTGGAGGTGGAATGTCTTATTCAAAGAAGAGCAAGGAGGCCTGTGCCACTGGTTCACAGACAAAGCAATAAGCTATCAGAACACAGCAAAATGTTCACGTGGAGCATGTGCTCAGCTCAATATCCATGATAGTGACCTCTGACCTGGACCATCTCCTTCCTGACTTATCTACCACATGGACCTCCCCTTCCCTGTACTTAGTTCATCTGGCATTAGAAATGCGGCTCTGGTGCTCATAGACTACAATTCCCAATAACGTTCTCTGAAAACCTGAGTTGAATGAAGCTCCTCCTCCTTCCTCTCTTCCTCCTGCTGATTACACAAGGGTGTAATGGAAAAAGTACTAATCCTAGGTCAGAGGACATGGGTTTGAATATTATTCGACCCCTTACTGACTTGTAGGCAGCTACATGGTGCAGTTTATAGAGCACTTGGCCTTAGCTTCATGAGTTCAAATCTGGCCCCAGACACTTACTAGCTGTGTGACACCAGGCTGGTCATTTAACCCTGTTTGCCTCAGTTTCCTTAACTGTAAAACAATCTGGAGACGGTAATGGTAAACCACTCCAGCATCTTTACCAAGAAAACTCCCAAATGGGGTCATAAAGAGTCAGATGCAACTGAACAACAACCACCTTACTGATTGTGATCTTGGGACAAGTCATTTTTCCCTCTCTCCTGCTTTCCACCCTTAGCACTGTTTCCTCACTTATACAATGAAGAGATTAAATTAAATTATTTTTATGTGTCCTAGTCTAATTTCTGTGATCCTATGAAAACTAACTTGCTTTCTTATAGACTATACTCAGCTAACCCCCTCTAACAATATGTTCTTTAGCTCCTTCCCTGTCTACCATGATCCCAACTGTGACATTCTGACACAAATCCAGTGAGCTGAACCCCTAAGAACTTCTAGCTTAAGCCTGATTAGGATACAGATACTTTTGCTTCTTTCATATGCACTTCTGAAATCAGTTTTCTATATTTTATCAGTACAATAACAAATTTCTACAAAAGTAATTGAAGACAACTGGACTCCAGCATTCCAGATTTTTAGGTCCCAGCGGTTGGGCATTTTCTCCTAGAAAAATTCATCTTACATATTCTTCTCTTTACCTCTTCTATTTGGTAAAATTTAGCCCACAGTTCAAGACTTCAATACTTTATAATGGATCTTTGATCCTACTGTTCAGTCATTTTTCAGTTGTATCTGACTCTTAGTAACCCCATCTGTTTTTTTTTTCAGCAGAGATACTGAAGGGTTTGCCACTTCCTTCTCCAGCTCATTTTACAGATGAGGCAATTGAGGCAAACAGGGTTAAGTGACCTTCCCAAAATCACATAGCTAGTAAGTGTCACCAAGACGTGTCTTCCTGACTTCAGGCCCAGAACTCTATCCACCATACCACCTAGCTGCCCTCTTTGGTCCCAAAGCAAATCATCTTTGCTCGCTCTTGCTCTCTCTAGCTCTCTCTCTCTCTCTTTGTGACTCTTTTCTGCATCCTCCCATAAATCATTCATCCAATATCCTGCAGGCCTTCCTCTAGAATTTTTGACTTTGTATGGTGAGCCCCAGAGAAGCCCATGATTTGTCCATCAGCGATTCCTCAACTCTTTCACTAGCTTTTCCCACTCCCTTCTACCCTCTTTTTCACAATTCTTATCAAGTTTCAAACTAGCCTTGCTTCTTCCAAGCTTGAAAATTCACAGAGGTGGTCTCTAATTTCCCCTACAATGCATCGCTAAGTACAAGTCTCAAAACAGATTTCAGTAAAGCAAAATCCTGACTGTGCTTGTCCTTTATCTTCACAGCACATGCATGCTCACCTGTCAAGGCAGGTAAAGACAGAAGGAGGTGACATATGGGTCCTGAAGCATCAGCATTGCCCAAGTAGATTGACAAAATGTGAAGTAGGGAAAAGGGATCTGACTCTCAAAACTCATGAGAGCCTTACTTAATTCAATTTAATTTCCTATACAACTGTTGAAACACAGTCCATCTGTCCCTATACAATGCTTAAAGTTCTCAGTTTATGAGGTGAATGTGTGGTGAGCTGAAGCAAAAAGTGAGATTCAGGAAACAAATGTACAATGGCAGCTCCTAACCCTTCTCTATAGGTTGGGTTAGGGGTGGGGGCGCTTTTAGGGCATGCCTGGCAGTTCAGGCAAAGTAAACCTGGTTTACATGTGTGTAAGGCTGTATGGTTTACAGAATACTTTCATAATCATTACATCGTTGAATTTTTGCAATAAACCTGCAAGGCAAACAAGACATTTAGCATTCACATTTCACAGGTGAGGACGCTGAGAGGTTATGGACTTGTTGGTGACATGTGATTGGCAAATAAATTACAGAGCCCAGTTGTTAACTCTGTTTCCCAACTCTAGGGATCTTTCTGCTCCACCATGCTTTTCCTAGGTTATCCTACCTGATTCTCACAACAGCCCTGTGGAGTTAGCTAGGCATATGTCACAGGACCAAAATACCTAGGGTTGGAAGAGACATCAGAGGCCATGTAATCAAACTGCTCTCATTTTATAGATCAGAAAACTGAGTCTTGGAGAGGTTAAATGTTTACTCAAAGTCACAAAAATTAAGTAATAGACTCACGATTCAAACTCAACGCCATTTCCAGTACACCACACAGGACCCTTGCTTTAAGACATAACAGTTTCTTGGTTATGGGCAACCTCTCCTTCACTTCTATAGCAGTTGTCAATATTATCAGGCTTTTACTAATTAAACAATTTTTGCTTTCTCTCCCATGAGTGATTGAGGTAGTTGAAATAGTCACATCTAAAAGGAAGGAGGGAATTTTAAGTGTCAATGCATGGGGTATCTTGAATCCAGGAGAGCTGCAGGGGAGATTGCCTAGAAACACCCAGAGCCGCTACTGTTTAAAAGGAGACCATTTGGCTATTGTCCAAGTATTTCTAAATCCCTCCACAGCAATGAGAACATTAAAGGGAAAGTGAGTTGGGTTATGCCTGTTCTGGGTAACAGCCTCAGCTGGAACATGTGAAAGACAGAAACCTCTTAAGGATCACACAGAGTAAACCATCTAAGAGAGCTCACTCATGTTTAATTATGTCTCAATGTCATTTCTTTCATCTCCAAAACTGAAAAGTGCTTCTTAAGCAACAGTCAGTATTCTCATGTTCATTAAAGATAGAGACAAAATGGAGGAGTAGGCTCTTTTAAGAGATCTGCCAGTGGTCGTGTTACATCAACCCCATATCTCCATAGCCAAAGCAAAGAAAAATAGAGGCAACTCCCTCAGGCAAAATAGCACATCTGCTTTTGCTGCATTTCTCTGTTCTTGATCACCATACGTATGCTGTGGAGGCCTTGTGAGTTCATACATGGCTGACCAGTTTCCTGATTCTTTCCCTAGGTGTCTAGACTCCATTGTCCTCACAAAGGAAACTCTTCTCAATGCTGATGTATGGCTGTGAGAAAACGTCAACAAGACTTCACATCTCATAATA